ATAATAACTCATAACAATAACTCCTGTATAGTCCTACAGCATACTTTCACATCTGACACTCAATAACACTTGAATACCCTGTCAGAAAAGTCTAGTGGCTGGGAATGAGCTTTTTACAGTATCTGGTATAATTAATTTGTTTTTGTGTGTTTACATAGATGAATATGGCCACGGTGTAAATGCACAGTACAGTTATGAGCTTATTGCCAAATTATATCATTATGATAACATAATATATGCCTTGGTGATTTCCAGAAGATAAATAAAAAAATTAATGCAACTGGAATAACTACAGAAGTTGCCATTGTCAATCTCATATAAAATAAGAGATCATAATGACATATGATGACATGTGCAGGTGTTTAAGTGCTGTCATTTCATAGAGGTAAAATTTGAAGTCCTTCCTCTTTAAAATAAAATTGAGATTGGGCCCAAGTGTATATTACATTTTGTATTACATTAAAGTTGCCAAGTGTAATTTCCTAAAGCATATTATAATAGTTATAAATAAATAGAAAAAATACTTTAACTGCATTTACTGATGCATACTATTTTTCATAAATTTTAAACTTAAAGCATGACGGTAAAACATGAACACCGTTGTGTATGTATTAACACATGTGCTTGTTTATTGTAAAAATTCATATAATGACAAAAAATACTAATTTGTGCAAGTGCAGCCCTGCTGCTTTTGTATTCTGGGAGATTTTTTTTACCCCTTGGTTTCAAGTGTGGTCCTGGAAATCTCAGTTTCAAGGGCTATCTATCTACCCCTTAGCCCTATGCCTTCAAGCTAAAAAGAATTGGGACAGAGGGTAAGGAAAAGAGCTAGGGGGTAGAATTGGGATTGAGTCTTAATTTTGGCCAATAGCTCTAAATCAAGCTTTGATTTTGGCGCTTTATAAGAAAAGGTTTAGGCACCCTAGGTCTATACAATTTCTGTTATATATTTACAATGAATAATTAAGCATTGTAAGATCAGCTTAGGCGACGCAGTGGCGCAGTAGGTAGTACTGTCGCCTCACAGCAAAAAAGTCACTGGTTCTAGCCTCGGCTGGGTCAGTTGACGTTTCTGTGTGGAGTTTGCATGTTCTCCCTGCATTTGCATGGGTTTCCTCTGGGTGCTGCGGTTTCTACCATAGTCCAAAGACATGCGGTACAGGTGAATTGGGTAGGCTAAATTGTCAATAGTGTATGAGTGTGAATGACTGTATGAATGTTTCCCAGATATGGGTTGCGGCTGGAAGGGCATCCGCTGAGTAAAAAATATATGCTGGATAAATTGGCAGTTCATTCCGCTGTGGCAACCCCAGATTAATAAAGGGACTAAGCCGAAAAGAAAATGAATGAATAAATGAATGAATGAATGAATGACTGAGGATCAACTTATTTTCCCAGTATTGGATTGCGGCTAAAAGGGCATCCGCTTTGTAAAATATATGCCAGAGTAGTTGGTGGTTCATTCTGTTGTGGCAACCCCTGATTAATCAGGGATAAAGATTAGGGGAAATAAAAAAAAACAGCTTTTACTTTTTATGTATTTTAATGTTATTTATTTCTCTCATTGTAAAATGAAATTTTATGTCAGTTAATACTGATTCCTCATTTAATTATTCATTTTCAATTAATGTTTTTTTTATGGTTTTAGTTTAAGTTAAATAACAACAGCCATATGGGCTATAAATTATTTATTTATTTTCATTCTCTAAACCATTTGACAGTAGTGCTACTTCAGTATATATTCTGGGAATATTTCAGTTTGCAGCTGTTTGGAATGCAAACTAAAGGAAATGTAATAATTAAAGTAAAAAAAAAAGAACATTTTCGAGAACAGATGGAGCAAGGGACAGGGCATCTGGTCATCCTATATTGACCATTTCTTGCAAAATCTGTCTACAACAGTGCCAAAATAAGAGTTTTCAGCTTTTTGCATTTTCTAATCTGATTTGAGAGCAGCATCTGCATAATTCCGCAAACTTAATTTGATTAGGGCAAAATAAGTTAAATGGAGCAGACAACAGTGTACTGAAGCAAACATACAAATCTAGAGAGACATAGAGCATCTATGTGCACAGACTCTAGTATAAAAACTCGGGTAAAACCAAACACACTCCTTGTCAAACCATCACAATGTCACCTTGTCTTTTAATAGCTTTTTTCCCAACAATAACCTGAGGTGGCAGTCAAGATTTACATGTGAAGAATTTGAGAGCAGCCATACACTGTAATAAGAGAGAATATCTCCAAAGCTAATGCAGGGAAGGGGGAAAAAAAGAAAATAATAATAAAAAAAACCCTAAGCATAAACACGTCTCTTCTGGCCTAATTACAAAAATTACGCCATGGCTCTTTGATGCATATTAATAAGATGCTTCTGATTAGCCTCTCACCAAGAAATAACAGCGGCAGTCACGAATGAGAAGCCAAACTGAAAAGTTCAAATTGACTTTGCTGACACTACAGATAGCATTTGATTTTCCAATTACAGTGTAAATGTTTGGGCAGGATTAGTTACAGATGCACGAATACCATCGGGGAATAAACACTTATTGTTAAAATGGAAAATGATCCTTGAAGGCTTTTAATCTGCCTCCGAGTACAACAAACCAGGTATTCTCGTCAATGAGGAGCGCTATTAGCATTTGGACTCTAAAAATACCTCCTCCCAAAAAACTTTTATTATCTGAAGCAGCACGGCACATATTACCAGGCCTCTAAATGAACTCTCGGCTCACGGATACCAGTTAGTGTAATAATACGAAACATCAGGAAATTAAATCTGAGAGATAAAAGGCTTCCGTTGACGCCGTAAGCAGGAAAGAACAAGTCGTTTTGGTAAATAGACAGGTTTGATTAATTGACAGAATGCCTTGAAATACTGTATACAATCCTTGCGGGCAGAATTGTGGGGCGGCTATTTGCAGATTTAAATTACGCCAACCCTCGCAGTCAAGATGATGGATGACAACATAGCGCAGAGGTAGCGAAGTAACTATGATGGCATTTTAATGACATCGGTATCATCAGATCTGGCAACCGACCAAAGTGGGGGAAGCATCCTCAAGCAGACGTTTAATCTAGATATCGCACAAGTTTCACTTTCCTGCAGGTCTCTCGTATTAGGGGCTGATTAATGGACGGTTGTTGAAGTTTTATGTACTTGCGCTATAAACCTCATTTCAGGAAATCACAATGCAGACAGTAATTGTGTTATTGGCTTGCTAAAATCCACTTAGGGATATAAAACAGGAGAAAAATTGAAGACGCAATGAAAATTATGCCTGATGCTGTACAAACAATGGGAGCTGTCAGATATATGCACGCTTCTGCTTGATGGCCGGATCGAGCGACGAATCCAAGCAGTTTGCACATAAAATAGGCCTAAAAGGTTTATGCAGCTGTCACATAATGCTGCTACACTGCCAATAACAACATCTGCAGGCTTTCTACTAAAACAACACGACGGCTCGTGCAGCTGGAACCGCAAACATAAAGCAGGGACGCTTTCTATTGCCATTTAAAGGAATAGTTCACCCCAAAAACAATCTCTACCATTCTCCTATTCATGCTGAAGCTGAGGGGAGACGTTTAGGGGAATATTAATGCTGCTTTTTGCTACAGTGAAAGCAGACAGATGGCAGGTGCAGTCTTACTCTGTAAAGTAATGAGCATTTCATGTAGAGCACATGCACAATAGGTATGGCCAATATAGATTTTAATATACATCACAATATTTTCTGGTATTTATTTCAATAACGATATTAATAGCTATGTTTTCATCCAACTATGTGAATTTAATTTATGCGGAAAACTGGAATATCGCATAAAAGAGAGCTCTTTCCATCCAGCGAGTCAAAGAGAACAACATCGTCCTGATTAACTGGCGCCAAACATCAACAGTAAA